GATGGTAAGTCTGAATGAGAGTCACATCATACTTTCTGGAACCCCAACAGCTCCCTTCAGGCCCAATATCATATGCAGAATTGCATGCTGGCTACACTGAATTGTGCCAAAGAACGCCTCCTGTGAGACAAGGGGCATCTCAGTGGTCTCCATGGTTCACAATATACAGTATGACTTCAGTGGCACACCATCCGGTACACAGAGAGAGTGTACAGGAAACAATATCAACAGGCATTTATCACCGTCAGCCTCCCCAGGCTGAGATCTAAGTACTTTGTTGAACTGACAGCTGTATAGTGAAGTTAGAGTAAGGGTCAGTCATCCCAGGCATTTCTGGTGGGCAGGCTATGAGATAACAGCCTATGAGACAAGATATAAGACTTACTTGAAAACAAAAAGCAGAGCTGAAGAAAGAAGTAGTGATTGGGCAGATACCACAGAATGGTGGATGGACAGAGTAAAGAAATAGAGCATAAGGATTCAGAGCTATGAAGGGCAGAGTGAACAAAGCAATGCATTAATAAGAGTTCTAGAAGGAGAGAAGACACATTTAAAGTCATGATGCCTGAGAATAATCCAGAGATGGTGGGAAACACCAGTCTTCAGATTCAGGAAGCCTGGTGAGTCCTAAGGGTGGATAACTAGAAAGCTGTTTGCAACTAGACACATTGTGCAGAAAAAGCAGAACACTAAAGACAAAAAGAAAATCTTAAAAGCAGCCAGGGTCAAAAGATTACTCTCAAAGAAGTGCTGACCTGAGGCGCGTTAGAATATTTAAGGATTTATTTGCACATCCATCGCTTCATGGTCCTGGCCATGAGAAGGGGTGCAAAGGGAAGGCTTTCATAAGGTGAAGGTGGAAGCACAGCAGAGATGTTTGGTCAGCTAGGAGCAGTAGCCTTATTTGGGTCATTCCAGTGGGAACTCCCTAGTCAGGAGTCAGTTGGCAGTTTCCAGTGGGCCCAGGATGAGTTGGGTCTCAGTTTCCTTACATAGGAGCCTAGGTTGCTAGAGCTACCTTGGCTGAGTGGCCTCTCAATTCATTTTTTTTTAAAAACAGAAGCAATAATTATAATGACAGCTGACTTCTCAACAGAAATACTAGAAACCAGAAAATGATGAAATATCTTCAAAATGCAGAGAGAAAATAACTGCCAATCCAGATACTGTATCCCTTGTGAAACTGGGTTTTGAGAATGAAAGCAAAACCTGAGAGAGTTGCCACCCAGAGTTCTCCATTAAAGGAGATTTAAAGGAGGTACTTCAGGATGAAATAAAGATTCTAAAAGGAAGGTACAAGTAACAAGATGGAACAGAGAGGAAAGAAGTATGTGTGTGTAAAGTGAAATAAAGATTGATGATACAGAATTTTCAAACCTGTTGAAATCACCATAAGAAGGGGACTAAGGTAGAAAAAAGAAAAATAGAGGAGATGAACCAATTTGGGTTATAATACATATATACATGGAAATGTCACAGGCATTTCCCTTGTATCTATCTTAAACAAACAAAAATGTCATTTTTTTTTCTTTTACAAAATCAGAGACCAGGAGGGCAGAACAAGTCTTGCTGGCGGGTTGGTACCAGTGGGAGGGGAGTATGTGGGAATAGGGTGTAGGGAGGTGAATTAGTGCAAATGCTGTGTACACATTTATGTAAATGAAACAATGAGAACTGGTGGAGCTACCCTACCCCAGCAATGGGGGAGAGGGGAACAAAGGAGAATGATGAAGAGGTGTACTCAAGCATGACATATTTGATATATTGTAAGAACTTTTGTAAATGCCACAATGCACCCCCAGCACAACAGTAAAAAAAATTTAATTTATGAAATAAGAATATCTAAGTTGTAGGGCTAGTGTTTAAAAAGCAGATGAGAGTGTTAGCGATTGTATCCTAGTTAAATGTCTTGTGGATCATGTGTAATTCAAGAGTATGGTTACATTGTTAATTAACATTTGACTTCATATAAATATTAAAATTTCTAAGATAAACACTTAAAAAATAGAGAGTGTTTATCTTTCAAAGCAGCAGGAAAAAAGAATGTGAAGGCAGGAAAGAAAATAATCTTAATTTAAAAGAAGTGAGAAAGAAGAGGGGGAAAGAGAAAAATTTGGAAGTGTAGCATTAAATAGAGTAGCAATAGATTCAAATATAGACATCACTACCAGTGTCAATGGACCAGACACTCCAGTTAAAAGACACAGATTGGGAAAGATGCATAAACCTTTCTAGAAGATCAGATGCTGTAGATCAGAGTCATGGAAACCACACAGCAGCCTGCTGGCAGGGCTGTTTTGGTCTGTTGTGCAGTGGTTCAATTATAATGAGTATTTGTGCCCAGATTTTTGCCTGCATCTGTGCTGAGTGGTCAGTACTGTTGGACTGAGTGTTTATCCTCTGTGCCAGTTCTAATGGATCAGTACAGTGATAGCAGGTGTTTATGCCTAGTACAGATTCAGATTGGTCAGTGCCCTTCATAAATCACATGTCAACTACTTTGAACTATGATACCTCTCTTAGTCACTCAGAGGTTTTAACATGTCCCCAATAATATGTTTCTAAAAATTATGTTCTTATATAAACAATATCTGTACATTGTAAACAAAATAAACAATAAATTCATGAATCATAATTTAAAAAAATCAACCATCACACTAAAGCCCAGGAGAATGAGTTTGGTGTGGTGTTTTTCCATTCCATTTATTTCCATATCAATGTCAGAAGTGAGTTCATACCCTTAGATTGTGTTTTATATCACTGATGCTTATATTACTGAATTTCTTCTTTTTTATTGTTTCTTTCTTTCTTTATATTATTGTTGTACTGGGGTACACTGTGACATTTACAGAAGTTCTTACAATACAGCATAGTCAAATTCACTCCCCCATCATTCTCTTTTATCCCTGCTCTCCCATTCCTAGAATAGTTTCATTTTTCCATTTATATTCATGAGTACATGATTATTTCTACCACATTCACCCTCCTACATCCTTTCCTTATATCCTCCCACTCCCACTGGCACCAGCCCCCTAGATATTACTGAATTTCTTCTGAAATAGGGATTGACTTTTTTTTCCTGTAAAACACCAGACAGCAGCTATTTAGGGTTTCACATGTGTGGTCTGTGTCACAACTACTCAGCACATCCATTTAGTGCAAAGGCAGCCACAAACAACGTGCACGCGAATAGGCGTGGCTATGTGGCATTAGAATTGTATTTATTGACACAAATTCAAGTTACATATAACTTTAATCTATCTCAAAACATTACTCTGTTTTGATTTTTTAAAACTATTTTAAAATGTCAAGTCATTCTTCACTTGTGTACTATTTGTGGTGGGCTGGATGTGGCTCTTGCACTGTTGTGGGGTGCTGACCTCAGTTCTGTGATGTCATCACAAGTGACCGCATCGTGTCATTTTGGAGATAAACTCCACATCTTATCCAATCATTCTCCTATTTAGACTGTTTCCAGTTTTTCACTGCTATACACAGCACTGTAATAAACAACCTTGTAATAAGGAAGTGTATACTTCTGGCATTTTTTTCCTATTATAAACTCTTAAAAGTAGAATTATTGGGGCAGTGGGAAGGCATTTATTCAGAAAATTAAGAAGATGCATAGATGTTGAATAAGATTATAAAAAGATGCTTGATATCATATGCCAACAGGAAATTACAACTTATAATATGTCACTACACATCTGTTGGGATGGCTGAAATCCAGAGCACTGAACACCACCAAATGCTGGTGAGGACATGGAGCACCGGGGACTCCCATAACCCGCTCATGAGGATGCAAAGGGTACAGCCATGTGGGAAAACCATTCAGCAGTGCCTTAGAAAGTTGGATATAGGCTTAGCATTTGATCCAGCAATTGAATCCTAAGTATTTATGCAAATGATCTGAAAACTTACATTTACAAAAACATGCACAGAGATGTTTATAGTAGCTTTATCCATACTTTCCCTAAACTGGAAGCAACCACCTGTTCTTCAGTAGGTGAATGGAGAAACAAACTGTGGTATATCCATACAATGGGATATTAATAAGTGACAAAAAATAAATGAGCTGTCAAGTCACAAAAAGACATGTAAAACCTCAAGTGCATATTGCTAAGCCAGTATGAAAAAACTATACTCTGTGATTCTAACCATATAACATTCTGGAAAAGGTAAATCTAAGAAATACTAAAAACTCAGTGATAGGAGGTCAGCAGGAGGGAGAAAGGAAAAGGTGAATAAGTAGAACAGAGGAATTTTAGGGAGGTGAAACTTTTTCTGCCTGTCCATTTCAATTTTGTTTTAAAATTAATATATGCAAAGAAAATAATATATTCTATATAAGACTTCTGAAGAATACAGAAATACAAGCTTAGGAAATGAAACCAGCACCACTACTTATAGATGTACCCATTTTGAACAGTTTCATACAAATCTGTCAAGATTTTTCTCTACTTGCAAAATACAAGTGCACATATTTTCCCTATCAGACAGAGCTTATTATAAATATTTCTGTACTTTGCATTTCCTAAAACCTAACTATGTATCATAATCTTCTGTATGTACTGATGATATTCACAGTACAAATTATTCCGTTGTATAAATGTGTCATATGATATTTTCCCAATTCCTTATAATTGAACATTTAGACCATTCCCAAGTTTTGTTACTGAAAACCCTTGCACCTCTGTCTCTTGGTACTAGTTTCTAAATTGCCCAGTTGGCAGTTTATTCACATTCATACTTCCTGGCAGTGTTTATGTGTCAGTTGCCTGACTCCCTTGCCAATTGTGAATGTTATTTGCTTTAAATTGTAGCAATTTTCAGAGGAGAAAATGGTCTTTCCTTTAGTGAACATAGGTAGTGATGGTGATGAAGTTAGACTTTCTATGTAAATTGCCTAGACAATTTTCCATTGGCTCTTCCAATGGAAGCCTCCCAGGTGTTTTCTATATTTCCTGATGTCTAATCACCCCGTCTTCCATGTCTTTCAGTTACGACAGTGGCCTGACTCATATACAAAGAAATTTGAGCACAGAATCTACCCCATCACATTTTCTGTTGGAAACCCTCAGGAGTGGAAGAAATTATTCAAACCCTGTGCTGCCCAGAGACTCTTTCTTCCGGTAGGAGCACCTGTTTTTTAATAAGATTCAGCTTGGGAAAAACAAAAATAAAAGAAAATTTGCTCTTGGAAACATGGTGAATTAACTGAGATGTGTTTAGAAATCTTTTACTTGAGCTTAACAGTGTATCTTTCTTGGATTTGTAGTTGATGCTATCACTCTGCAGTGTGCAGAGAGAGGGTATCTCTGTTCTAGAAGTTCATTCTGTCAAGACTGAGAATCTGAGAGCATCCAAAGCATATCTTGGATGAAAGGACATTTTTGACCATGGCTTCCCATGGCTGTGTGAACTCAAATAAATGCCCAAGCCTCAGTTTCCTCTATAGGCTTGGCAGGTAGTTAGTTGCCAATAAATTTTAGCCTCTATTACTGTTATTTCACTTATAACTGCTCCTAGATGTAGTCATGCTAAGGTACATGCTAAGTCAGCAAGGGTCCAGAGTTCTGATTCAGCTTTTCAGCTTTGACTTTCAAATCTTATGTTTTTGTTTCCTTTTTTAAAAAAAATTCTAAATAGAAAAATCAGTTAAGGTCTTTCAAAACTGAAAATTCATTGAGCAGGGAGGGCAAATTTAAACTATGAATTACAACCTTAATGTTTCTGAGGGATCCATACCTTCAATAAGAATTTGTTGAGTGTCTCACAGTTGCCAGGCACTGGCTTTGCAATGGTGACATGGTGGTCAGTAAGATGACATGGTGCTGATTCCTTGGCCCTTATGTCTGAACAAGTAATTAGAAGTATGGTCGTGGCTGAAGTCGGGAATAAGTGTCATGGCTGTATGGAACATGGGGTTCCATTGTGGTCTGGGAGAGGTCATAGACGGTTCTCTTAAAGCAGTGGCATTTATGTTGAGATGTGAATGAAATGAGGTCACTGGGTGACAAGGCCTGGGGACATGAGAGAGAGGAGAGGCCCAGGGAGATGGACCAGTACATACAAAGGCCCCAAGCTGGGAAGAGGCAGGTTGAAGAAATAAAAGAAGGCCCTAGTGACTAAAAAACAGAATGAGATGGGACTGAAGAGTTCAGTGGGGACTGGAGTCTATAGGCTGTGGCTGCCATGTTGGGTGTCTGTTCTTTGTCTTCAGGGCAGTGGGAGATTTCTAACATGGGGCAACTCGACTTGTGTTTTAAAGAGGACATGCTGGCTCGTTGTGGTGTAGACAATTCAGATTGGGCTGTGGAGATTGCTTTAGCAGTGGATTCAAGGCCTGCCTGAGAGATAGAATTGATCAGTACTCATGCTTGGCTCCTTGTAAGAGAGGGGTTGAGCTGGAAACGCTGTCACCCAGGTTTCTGACTTGAGCAACTATTAAGGTTGATCTGATTGAAATTGCCAGTACCTACCTGTTCATGACATACAAAAAAGGCACTTTCTTTTTAAAAAAAAAAATTTATTATTTTGTACTGGGGGTACAATGTGACATTTACAAAAGTTGTTACAACATGTCATAGTTGAATTCACCCCCTCCATCATTCTCCTTTATCCCCCCCACCCCATTCCAAGAATAGTTTCAAGAGGTCTCATTTTTCAATTTCCAAACATGAGGACATAGTACATAGTATTCACCGTCCTAAACCCTTTCCTTATATCCTCCCCCACACTGACACTGTAGTGAGGAGGAGGGGATGGCATGGCAGGAAACTGAAACTTAAGGAGGCTGGACATGAAAACGGTCACATAGCACTGAGGATAAAGTAGCCAATAAAAATTGCAGACAACCATACATGGGTTAAGCTTTGTTTCTCAGTTCTGTACTCTGCTTGAAAGGGTATATAAGACAAAGCCCCTTTTCTCGGGGCTCAGCCTTTGGATATGAGTCCACAGAGTCTGTGCTGGCACAATAAACTGTTGCTTCCTGCGGAACTGCCTCAGTGTCCTGTCTCTGTGTTCAAGAATCCCGCAATATTTCTGGGGGTTCTTGTCTGGGATTTGGAGTTGGTGTTTTTTTCACTTCCCTTGTCGCCAGGGTGCATCCTCTGGACCACCAGGAGAAGTTATCCGCTAGTCACCAATGGACAGTTTGATCCAAGGACCAGGTGAGAGTCCCAGCCAGTTTTATGAGTCCTTCTGCTTGTAAACCCCTTTTGACCTGGAAGCTGGGTCAAAAGCTGATTAATGCCAGTTTCATAGGCCAAGCCCAAGGGGACATAGGTGAATATTGCAGAAACTGGAGGGACTCGTTGGAATGAATGCCAGCTAGCTCCTGGAGGTGGCCACAAAGGTTTTTGTCAATCAAGATCAGGAGGCAAACGGGAGCTGACAGGAAGATGAAAAGGAAAGTGGACCTCCTTGCTGCAGCCCTTGTTGAGCATCAGGTGGACCCTTGTGGTTGGTCTAAATAGAATCAGAGGCAGTCACTGCGGATAGTGACTGGTGCCCCGGGATGCCTATATCCCAGGGAAGAATTAGGGCAAAATCAATGTGCCTACTCTAGCTAGGACAGGTACTGGAAGAGTGACTGTCTCCAATGGGCCAGGGACTCCAAGAAGGCCCCCCAGACCAGAGGCAGAGGCCAAGTTGTTGAGGAAAAATATCAGCCCACCCACAGGGAGGCCCCTGGGAAGAAAACATCATCAGACTGGCAGGCCTGGAAGGCTATGAGGAGGAATAAGACAGACTGGGCTCTATTCCAGGCTCCATTCTACTGGGCCCTCAGGAGCCTATGGTCTCAATGAAGATAGGGGGCCATCCCATTGATCTCATGGTGGACACAGCACAGAAAATTCAGTTGTGACCCAGCCAGTGGGCCCCCTTTCATGAAGCAGACAACTCTTATTGGGGCCACAGGGAACTGGGCCACCACCCCTTCTCAGTGTCTGACGATGCAATTATGGGAGCCATAAAATAAAGCATGCACTCCTCCATCTCCCCAATTGCCCTGTGGCCGTAATGGGTAGAGACTCATTATGTAAATTGAGGGCACAGCAGCCTTAAAACTGAGAGGACCTGAGGCAAGAATTCTAACCCTCACTGTTGCACAAGAAGAGGAATGGTGGCTCTATGCCCCTGAGGGAAGGACTCCTGAGATTCCTGATCTTTCCTTCAAGATTCCAGGTATGTGGGCAGAAGATAACCCTCCAGGACTGGCCCAAAATGTGCCTGCACTAGTGATGGAACTAAAGTCGGGTGGCTCCCTGTCAGCCAAAAACAGTACTTCATTCCCTGAAAGGCCCAGGTTAGAATTCAAAAACACCTTGACAGACTCCTAAAATATAGGATCCTCCAACCTTGGCAGTCATCCTGAAATACCCCCTTACTACCCATCAAAAATCAGGGATTGGGGATTTTAGGCCAGTTCAGAACCTCTGGGCAGTAAATTCAGCAACTGCTACCCTGCACCCTGTAGTCCCAAATCCCTACACACTATCAGGCCTTGTCCCTGCTGAGGCAAAGTTTTTTACCTGTCTGGATCTTAGGGATACATTTTCCTGCATCTGCCTGGCCCCACAGAGCCAGCCTATCTTTGCCTTCCAATGGGAAAATCCCAATACTGGAGAAAAGGGACAATTCACCTGGACTTGGTTGCCACCAGGTTCAAAAACTCGCCCACTATCTTCAGAACTGCCTTGGCATCTGACCTCAGTGCTTTCTCAGCTGACTAGCATGGCTACACACTCCTCCAATACATGGATGCTGGACCAACCTGGGAGGATTGTATGGAAGGGACTCGCCTCCTTCTCTCTCTTCTATGGGAGGTAGGATGCAAAGTTTCTTGGAAAAAGGACCAGATTTGCCAAGACACTGTCAAATACCTCAGCTTTCACCTGTCCCAAGGGCAATGCAGGCTTGGCCCCCTGAGGGAACAAGCCATCTGTTCCATTCCAGCCCCAAGACCTGCCAGCAAATCAGAGAGTTTTTGGAGCCCAAAGGTTTCTGCCGAATCTGGATCCCTAACTACTCTCTCTAGACCAAACCCCTCTATGAAGCCACAAAGGGGGCAAAACAGGAACCCTTAGTATGAAATGGGACAGCTGTTGGGGTCCTGACTCAGCTACTAGGCTCCTGGCACCATCTGGTGGCTTACTTGTCAAAACGACTCCATTTCTTGAGGCTGGCTGCCTTGCCTGCGTGCCCTAGCAGCCAATGCTGTCTTGGTGACAGATGCAGACAAGCTTTCCCTAGGGCAAGAACTCATTGTCTAGGTTCCCCACTCCATCCTGACTCTCATGGAGTATAAGGGAAATTATTGGCTGACCAACTCTCGGATAGTCAGAGTATGCTATGTGAAAACCCACACATCTGGCTGGAAGTTATTAAGACTCTAAACCTAGCCACCCTGTTGCTGGTTGATTTGGGCCCCCTGAAGCATGACTGCCTAGATGTTATGGATGAGGTTTTCTCAAGCCAGCCAGATCTAATGGATCAGACTATCAGCCATCTGGACATTGGATACTTTACAGATGGCAGCAGCTTTGTCTGGGAAAGCACACACTTGGCTGGGTTTGCGGTAGTAACTGTGGACTCAGGCATTGGAGCCTGCCTGCTGTCAGTTGGAAGTTCTGCACAAAAGGCTGAACTCATTGCCCTTACCCAGGCACTCCAGCTTATTGCAGGAGTGCAGGTAAACATCTATACTGACTCTAAATATGCCTTCACAATCATTCATGTCCATGGGTTCCTATATAAAGAGAGGGGCCTCATTGCTGAGGAGGAAAAAGTAGCAAGTATGTACAGAAAATCCTTGAACTGCTAGACATTGTATGGGCCCCTACATGGTTGGCAGTTAAACACTGCTAGGGACACCAAAAGGGAGATGCAACAATTGCTCGGGGAAACAGGAGAGCTGATAGAGAGGCCAAGCAACTAGCCCTCATGAGAGGACTGACCCCAACTGCCCTGACCGCTGCCTTGTTTTCATGTCTCAACTGAATGGGACCATGATACACCCCACAAGAACAAGCTTGGTTCAAGACTGAGAAGGGAAGTTTTCTACCAGGTGGATGGTAGAAGTTTGCTGATGGTCACATTGCCATCCTGGAGTCTCTGGCTCCCA